GTACTCCGCGTCCTCCGCTTAATGTTTCTACGCGGATGCGACGAAACTTTATTACCGGGCATGTATGCCCGTCGAGTTCCCACCATAACTGCACACTAAAACCCTTAACCCTACACCCCTAAACCCTAAAACCCTTAGCCCTACACCCTAAACCCGTGGTCCCCTTCTCAAACCCTTAACCCTACCCTTTCCAATTATTCAGTCAAGCCTTCGGTGGTGCGGGCTCAAATCTACCCGAGAATTACTCATCCTCGGGTCCCCTCATGTGGATAGTTCTCTAATTCAGGGTCCCTTTTTCGGTCCCGAATATAGTACGGCACCCTTATAAAACGGACCCTAAAAGGGACCCTAATTAAAAAGCTACGGATGTAGCTCCGGATTACAGACGCTCTGAAACTGGGGATCCCTACGAAGACCTTCGTTGAGGGAGTGGGAATTATTCCCCAACTGTAACTTTCTAAAACTGCTCAACCACAAGACCCCATGGGCGAATGACTCTAATATGTGGGCCTCCATAGGTAGAGCTGGGTTTTGGGGTATACTATAGTACACAGTACAGTATCGTTATATCAAGAAAGCCTGATGACTAGTATCGGTAGGTATTCAGATGCCCCTACATTCGATTAATATCCTAAGACCTAGTTGGCCACCGCCCCAAAGTCAGTAGCCCATGAGCGCGATCCAAGGCTTGAGCAAGCGCTGAAGGACAAGGAGGCCAAGCTGCTGAGCCTCGAGAACTCCGTCAAGACGACTCTTTGCCGGATTTTCAGGCCCCCCTAAACCCTAAAGATTTAAACCCTAAACCCTTAACCCTAAACCCTTAACCGTAACCCCTAAACCCTTAAACCCTAAACCTAAACCCTAAACCTGGATTTTTCCAGGCCAGCTCTTGGGGACCTCTAATAGAGGGCCCTAGAGGCTTACCAATATTATTTTGGGGATCCTTAGTCTGACTACACTATACTTTACCCGAGAACCCTATTCTAACTAGTAAGCCTTTTCAGGGCTTAAGATGTTTAGTTGTTTTTGAGGTTCAGGGGTCTCCAAGAACAGCCCAGTCACACACTGTGTGTACATGTGTATATATATATATATATATAATCCATCTAACACGCGAAAAGCCCTAGTCGATGTTTTTATGAGCCCGTATACCCTAAACTACCCTAAATCCATAACCCTAAACCCCAAGAAACCCTAAGGGCGAAACCCTAA